CAATCGGTGCCAAGCTAAGAAACGAGGAATAGAATGGCCCGGCATCATCCGTCGACACATAAAATTATATACTCTATGTACATCGTTCAAACCATAAAAAAATTAATATTGGAAATCAGCTTCACGCTGTGAATCCCAACACAGGATTCTTTTGGGAAGGAATCTTTTGGGAAATACTGACCAAATGTAACTAGGAACTTATTTATAAGCTCAGAACTTATTAAGTTATTTTGTAGTATTTAAGAACAAGAAAGCAGTCCACCTGATTAAGAAGGCCATTCCATCCGCAGCCTAGTGATGCCAGGCAGGTTTCCTTGAACACTTCAGGAGTTCAGGACAGCTAGGCGGGTGTGTCGCAGTCCGTCTGTAAAGGGGCCTGTACACAGGGATAGTACTAGCCGCTAGTTCGTCCGCCGCTTGAACTGCCCACGCTACTAGCCTCGTGTATAGGGATTACTCTCCTCGTGTACAGGCTTACTTGCCGGATAGTCACCAAGCGACCGACACTTGTCAGATTTACTAGCCGTCTGCACTAGCCCCGTGTAAAAGTACCTTAAGCTTGGCAAAGTTCGATCGTTGGTAGTAGAAGAGATTAATAATTAATTTAAAGTAATTAATAGTGCGAGGGGTTTGAAATTTAAAATGGTATGGTGGCGCGTGCTAGATACTGACAGCGGCCTCAATCCGCGGTAGATTGGAGGACATATTTATAGACATTCTAGAAATTCCAATCGGGGCTGTGCTTTATGTTTAAAATTGTAGGAGTACCTTCCAGCACTATTTCAATGCGATAAATATAGGTAAATACCATAAATACTATTTGCTGAAAATGATAAACATAGAAACATACCATAAATATTTGTAACTTGAATAGCGGCTTCAAAAATTATTCGTACGCGGGAACTTGGTGCGGAGTGGTCTAACTTATCATTTAAAAAAAATCCTCATTGCTAACTACAGGCTGAATTTTAGAATCCCACTTTTCAGTATTTAACCATTTCAAGTTAATTACAGGCGGCGGTGCCAACATAAACTGTATATCCTTTTATCCACCTCATTTATTTTATTCGAGGAATTTATATATAAATAACCTTAAAAAACTTATAAGAAAGAGTCGAATGGTGTCGCCAGCCAAAAGATTTACTAATGGTAATTGATGTTATGGTCGTGATTATGCCTCAGCGACGATCACGTGGGATGTACTCGTAAACTTGAATGAAAGTGACTGGCAATGGCGGGAACAAAAATTACATGGATACATCGCCCTTTCACTTCCTATCGTTACTTCGTGTGTTTGGCGAATTTTTCAGAAAAATGTTTCTTCGTTGTATCCTTCAATTAGCTTATGAAATTAATTCAAGTTCGATGACACGTACGTGCTTTTTTCCTATGGTTCTAACTGAATTTTGGTATCGACGAAAGCAACAGCTGGTACCAGAAGTGGTTTCAACAACCTGAGAGTATAATTAGTATTATTTCAATTATGTATCGTGTTCTTTCATTAACAAATCATTTGTGTGGTTCTACCGCTTCATCAATTAAGAGAATTCCTCAAACAGGCATGTTTGAAAAAGCTTGTAAACTTGCGGCCTTACTCATTTATCCTTCCATGGATATTAATTTGTTCATGATTCCTGCACACAACCAAAGAGAACACTTTACTCTTAGCAGACTTTATGTAAAGAAAGCTTTAATTACCGCTGTTCTGAAATCATTTCACTTTTTAGCATCCGAGAACTTGTATTTCTAGCCTTTAATCTAAAATTATTAATAATTATGTAATTATTAATGCTTTTAATTTCTAATAAAATTCTCCTAGTATTCATTAAAATAATTCGTAACACATTTTATCGAGGAAAATATTTTCGATCCTGCTTATATATTCTAAACATCATTTGCGTCACGGTGGACTTGTCAACTTTTCAATTTTATTCTCATTTTGGCAAGATAAAAATACGGTTTCAAATTTTTATCGCGGCAGATCAGAATAATTAATAATTTAAAAAGCCTGGGAGCTTATATTCCACAAATTTCTATCATCACTTTCAGTGCTCGAAGGGCCAGGCATTAATTAAAACAAGATAATGATAACGGGATCGCTTAGATGTGCTTTAGAGCATGAAATTTAGCTTCGGGCAATCTTGAAAAAATTAAATATTTCTTCTATACCAATAAATTTACGGCGCTGAAAAGATGGCATGGAGAGCACGCTTTAGGCATTAATCTCAAAGAGTGTGGTTTCTCTTAACTCCTGTGGCTAAAATTTAATTCATTGATATGATCGTAGACGTTGGATGTCTAGAGGAAATCTTTTTCCAACAAGTTCATTTAACGGAATTCAATTTTAAATAAAATACGATGTACTTGTGTAAAATGTTGAAGAATAAATTTTATAACGTATGACTTCATTTATTCGGGTTTATCGTCCGTAAAATTTTGATCATATTGTTGAATAAAATAGGATGAAGTAGTGCTACTGATGAAGCTAACGTAGGCCTCATTAATTCACATAATTTATTAACATATTTTAATTATTAATAATGATGCGTTTTTCTTCGTTGCGCGGTTCATCAGAAATCATGTGAGCAAATATCATTTTGCATTATTTTTCATGTAATCCCAAATAAAGTTTCTTCATATTTTAGTGGCGCAACTGGCAAAAATTCCGAGGTTGGGGAATTATGTACATCAGTGTGTGTTTATTATCCTGAACTATTATTATAAACGACGCCAAATTATTATAAACGAAGATAAATTATGTCTATCTCGGCTGCTTGTGTTTCGCGTACTCGAGCTTCTAGCTTTCCGGAGTATAGGTTGATCTTGGGGCGAGAAGCACCGTATTGTTGTTGCGGTAATTTAGACTCGCCATTGTTACAAGCGCTGCAATGTATGTTACAAGCGCTGCAATGTATGTTACAAGCGTTGCAATGTATGTTACAAGCGCTGCAATGTATGTTACAAGCGCTGCAATGTATGTTACAAGCGCTGCAATGTATGTTACAAGCGCTGCAATGTATGTTACAAGCGCTGCAATGTATCTTACAAGCGCTGCAATTTATGTTCAAAGCGTCAATCAGGCGTCTCATTTACACGCGCTACCACCCATGTCAAAACGCTGCAAATCATGTTGCAAGCGAGGAAATGAATGTTACAAGCAATAAAATGCCCGTTAAAGCACAGAAATGCAAGATACAGGCGTTGAAATATATGTCAGAAACGATGCAATGCATTCAATGTCCTAGTAATAATGGTTATTATGAGTTTGCTGTCGGGTCGAAAATTAATTGTTTATACGATTATACGACTGCAATCTACAAATGAAGTTTTTCCTTGAATTTTGTAATCATATCACACAATACAATAATAAAGCATAGACGATCCGAAAATTTTCTTTATTTTTGAGGAAATTCGATTTTCTCGATTTTGAATTTTAAAATTTTCGGTAGAAAATGGCGCCTACTACTATCGCTATTGCCACGTCCTCGCCGCAGGTAGACGCTTTAAATTCTAGACTCCATAAAATACTTGCGAACCTGACAACTTCCATTCATTTAACCTTTTTTGAAGAGAAGGGAGGTCGCGGCGTTCAACCATTAATTCAATTCGAGTTTTTGCACGGCCATAAATCAGCGTCTTGCGAGACAATGAACTTCGTCGCCGAGCGATGCCCGAGAAAGGATTTTGGCGTCGGCCACGCCTCATTGCTCGGAAGCCAACTAAGTTTACGTCAAAATTATCAAAGTTCATCATTTTGGAGCTCCAAAACAAGGCATTATGATCCGTGATAGTCAGGGGCTTGTCTTTGCAAAATTTAGTTCGATAGTAATGAGAGGACATTTATATCTTTTTCTCAAGTTAAGGTTTCGCCTCAGGTTCAGAAGCATCAATCTACTTAAGCACAGGCCTAAATTTTGGACTTGATATAACTTTCGTGTTCAACCTTAATATCTATACAGCATGGCAACAAGACTTTGAATCGCTGCTTCAATACAATGATGCAAGTTTGGCTCCGAGATCCATTTCTATTTATTAACCAGCTTTATATTTGAGAAAGGGCTTGTGCATTTGTAGTTTGTATGCTGATGCATTTTAATTATAGTGCATCGACATCATGCATACAGTATGCATGAATAAAAGTTAGAACACTTTTTATTTAGACGGCAAAATTTGAAGAATCATTTGCTGAGAATTTTAGAATCATTTATATAAACATAGGATAACAATTTATTCAAAGTTACCACCGTCTGGAGTAGCCTAGTGATTTTTTCGAATATTGTGTACGGTACAATGCCTTTATTAAATTGGCAGAGAAATATAGCAGTCCCGAAATAAACTAAATTTGTTCGTTAAGAATAGTGCACTCGTTTTTGATCTTGAATTCAATATTTGATCTTCAAAAGTTTAGTGAAATAAATGAATATTTTCGGTGGCGTCTTATTTCCACTGCATTAAATGTATTCTTCCGAGCAGTTCATTTCTCGACGAGAAAGTTCAGTAGGCAATATCATGCGGTGGACTTAAATTAATATTGGAGCAAGCGGTGGTGGCAACTGCAGGTGTACTATATTTTTTAATCTAACTTAAATATATCTGTTGAGCTGTAAAGTGACAAACACAAATTACTTCGATGAAAATACATACTATTAAAGTTCTCATACACAATATTCTTTGTAACACTCAATATGTACGCTTCTGGTTTGCTCAAATGCAAGCTTAGTATTAATGAGCATTGCATAATAAAGTTTATTGTATAACTGGGAAGACTAATATAAATGGTAATTGGTTAAAAATTGTAATGTATAAGTGAACGAGCATAATATAACTGAGCATTTTGTTATCAAACTGATTCTAGAACTGAAAAAAGGTTTATATAACTGAGCATTTTCTTATCAAGCTAATTTTAGAACTGAAAAAAGAGTAATGTAACTGAGCATTTTATAATAAAATTTTTGTATAATTGAACAAGTCTAGTATAATTGAATTTTTATTTTGTGCAGAAGAGGAAGGCGACGACTTCTCGCTTCAGGTGACGCGTCATCGGCCAGAGGAGCTGGACAAGCTCACGCGCACGACGCTCTTCACGAGACGGGAAATTCAGCTCATCTACCGCGGCTTCAAGCAGGTTATACATGCTACACTCTTATATATATATTTATGAAAGGAGGAAAGAATTGGATAAAAAATTGAAATTTTATTTTCCAATTTGCGAATCCAAATTTAATTTATTTAGTAAAATTTGTACTCTAAACATTTTTTTATTTATCTATCAATTTTTTTTACTCTAAATATTTTTTCAGAATTTTGGAACGAGAGTACCATCTTCTACGTCAAATTGGGGTTTAAATGTGTTTTCGTAATTAAGGATACACATATTTGTTATCATTCTTGGTATTAGCGATTACGGGGATGACGGCCGGAATGCCAGGCCAACCTGCTAGTAAAAAAATATAAAGAGTTATTCTAAACGATGGACCTAATTTAATATATTCGTATTTATATAAGTAAAAATTCAAAATGAAAAATTTATACACCACTGGATGGAGGAAGAATCAATTTTTTAAACCTATTCAAACGCGGAATTGGGCCTGGAATTTTTATCTAGTCAAACGCGGAATCACTTCCTGAGCGTTGGGTAGGACGCATAGGAAATGAAGATCAGGCTCTACACTTCTGGCCACCGAGATCACCTGATCTCACCCCATGTGACTATTTCTTATGGGGTTACGCCAAAGAAGCTGTTTACGTTCCGCCTCTACCAGCAACTCTGTTTACGTCCCGCCTCTACCAGCAACTCTGTTTACGTCCCGCCTCTACCAACAACTCTACTTCCCACCTCTAACAGCAACTCTGTTTACGTCCAGCCTCTACCAGCAACTCTGTTCACGTCCCGCCTCTACCAGCAACTCTGTTCACGTCCCGCCTCTACCAGCAACTCTGTTTACGTCCCGCGTCTACCAGCAACTCTGGTTGATCTGAAGAACCGTATCACTGCTGCGGTGCACTCGGTAACAGAAGATATGCTTTCTCGTGTGTGGGACGAGTTTGGCTATCATTTAGACGTTTGCCGAGCAGCACAAGGGGGGCATATTGAACATTTATGAATATGTAAAAAATGAAATCTTTCTCTTTTCATTGGTGTGTAAATTGTTCATTTTGTATTTATACCTAAATAAATACGAATTTATTAAATCGAGTACCTACATAATTTGGCGGAACCCTGTACAAGCAGGTCAATAGACGCTACACAGTACAGACATTTAAGCTTTTTGTTGAATAACTGTGATAGGGGTTGAGAATGAATTACATGTATTCTATTTGGAGATACATAAAGTTTGAGATAATAATGTAAGACGAATTTGGAAGCGATGAAATTTTTAACGTTTTATATATAAATGTTTCGTGGACAAAGAAAATTCACATGAACAGGAAGGAAAGACAAAGATGTGATAAACCTGGTTATCTTCGAGCACAGTTGCATTATCAAAAAACGTATAAAGAAATTCGAATTGGACCTTTTGTTTTAACCGAATTTTAGAAGGAGCGACATCTCAAAAATCTATCCGTTAGCAATTCCTATAGCCTCACGACGTCATAAAAACCAGCATCAAACATGAAATCTTAAAGGCATTAGTTAGCTAATTAAAGAAATGCTTCGCATGGGGGAAAATTTCTTTGTGCTCTCAAAAATGCAAGTTTGAGGAAGATTGGTCGGCATTCTGACGACGTCATTATTTACGGACCCGTGCGAGCTCCGTTCCTTTATGCAGGATAAATTGAAGCATCATGCAAATTCCTCAAGTTTTGGAACTACTGTTTCAGGGAACTGGTGTGGGGCACCGGTGAGTTCCATGTCATCGCTCATGACCGCAAGATTTTGTCGGCCGGTAGTGAATTAAAAGTTTGAACGTACAAACTCAATGCACTAATAACTGTTCTGCAGCATTCGTACTTCGCACTGGTCTCCAGTTCGGCTCAATTATTATTTGTTGCCATGAATCGGAAAGTTGAGAAAAGACCCAAATAAATTCATGGGGAGCAAAATTTAAAATAACTTTTTTAAATGTGTTAAATTGACACACCACAACACAGCTTTTGCGAAAAAAGATTCCGTTGTTACTGTAAGGTTATTTCATCCCTATATTCTACGCTATTTCTTTACAAATAAAAATTTGCATTTTTTTAGGCAAAGTCGAAGCAGTATTGAAGCCATTGAGCAAATTCCAAGTTTGGAGTAATCGAGGATTTAGAATCCGCGTGTTGGGAGTCATTAGCAAGCTTAGGGAGCTATTTTGCTCCCAAAAATCATGCTATTGCACGTTAAGGTCTCTTAGGTTACGGAGCGGAATTGTGCAGATTCGGATGCCGTACGCTCTTCTTAGGCGGGTTAATTACTCGGGATAACGACAATTTATGTCCTTTAAGAACCCATTTTATGAATCCTAACTTCCCGTAGTGCTCGTTGAGGAACAAGTTGCCAGGGACTCTCGTGGAACACGAATAAAACTGATGCTATTCACAGTACCGGAAGATGACATAAATTCATAGAATTCGCGAACGTGAGGGGGAATTTCCTGCGTGAAAAGAATATATACTGGCAACAAAGTATTCTTGCCCGAATTCATTATTCATGAAGATCATATTCAGTTGACGCCCCACTTCTCGTTGCATGGTGATGCAAGAATTTCGATTAATATTATACGTTATATTTAATGTGCAAAGCTGTGAGATGTAATAATACCTACTTACAGCTTGTGGGTTTTTCCCTTCAAATTATTTGCCCATGACCATAAGATGCTACAAATAAACTTTTTCATTTAATTTTCCTGTGCATTGATCAACTTTAATCGAAAATTGTACTAACTAAACAATTAATACTTGCATTTAATACTATCTCAATGGACTTGAAAAAATACATTTTTTCATTAATTGATTCAACATCGATTTTAAAGCAAATTCCAAACCGACCTCATGTACGCTGTACATTTGCACCTATTATTGAAATATCCCCAATAATATTCTTGCGAAAGTTTCAATTCTACCGGTAATTAATTACATGGTCATTCATAATTCATGATATGACACGTTTCTGTTTCAGTTGCACCTGCTTGTGGCAATGTCACCTGCTATATAACTTCATCTCTGATAAGTTCATTGGATTGATGTAACCTGCTGACCTCGTCTCTGATAAGTCCATTGGGTTGATGTGTGCATTACCTGCAAATGAGCTGCTGACACGAAGATGCAAAGCCTCGTTCACAAACAAAAAGACACACAAAACAATTGCATATCGTAATCTTATTTCTGTTTGGGAACTTTAAACTGTGGGAAATTTAGTTGATGGATTTATAAGAGAAATACTAGGGTACTGAATTCAAGCATAAAATAATACAAAAAGGTTACAGTATAAATTTGTCCAATGAAGAACTATACAATGTGCCTAAATTGTCGAAATTTGAAGCTTTAAAATTTAATTGAACTAAAAAAGTTTGTTAATAGCGAAACGCTTCGCGATCCTTTTGGCTATGACAAAAGGGGTCTATTTAATCAAATTAGTTTGACCTGTATAAAAATCCAATTTAACTTAAGATAATTCAAATTCTTCGAATCAGCTTGATCAATATTTGTGGATTCTAATCCCGCTTGAAGGTGCGTTAACTTGAACGCTGCTAATTATGACGGGGGGTTGCTAAATAAAATTAATTAAGGAGCTTAGAAGCTTATCTTGTTGCGTATGATAATTGACGTGCAATATTGTGTGCAACGTTATTGGTGACCAATTTTGAACGGGCGATAGGATATGAAGTTATTATATGAATTAATGCCATGATGAAACTATAAATAATCACCGCAATCATGAAAATTATATCTAAATTCAAATTTTTATTCAGAACTAGTTTTATCTAGATTTATGCTTTAATACAACTAAAAAATCATTAAAAGGAATTTTTATATGTTCATGACACTATTTACCCTGGCATTGGTAGAGATCTGCGAAAATTTCGGTTAATAGCAATCATAAAGGCAAATAATGTTCATTCTCACCCTGGCCATGCAGGTTGAAGCTCACAATTTGTTGTATTCTGAAGCACTATACACACAAAGTTTATTTATGAAAAGTGATTCACAGAAATCAGCAACGGGAAAATTTCTATCAAAAGGAGGTTAAAACTTCCTGTATAAAAATATATAATACTCGTCTGATGAGCGTCGCGCCGTAAATAGAAACTCCACGGGACGGAAGACCAGCTTTTCGATATGAAGTGTGCTTGACAATCCGGAGGCCAGCCTGCCTTAAGAGTAAAGGACTTCCTAGAGACGTGTCTTACCTGTGGCTTTAAAAGATGATGTGTATGATGAATATTTCATGAGATGTGAGTGATTCGTGAAGTGATTCATTATTAGTGATTCATGAGTAGTGAGTGATTCATGAAGTGATACATGAGTAGTGAGTGATTCATGATTAGTGAGTCATGAGTAGTGAGTGATTCATGAGTAGTGATTCATGTGTAGTGATTCATGAGGAGTGATTCATGAGTAGTTATTCATGAGTAGTGAGTGATTCGTGAGTAGTGATTCATGAGTAGTGATTCATGAGTAGTGATTCATGAGGAGTGATTCATGAGGAGTGATTCATGAGGAGTGATTCATGAGGAGAGATTCATGACTCATGACTGTGAGTCAGCTAACACTGCGAGTAACTGTGTGTAGGATTATACTATGAGTTAATGTGTCCGGCTGCTGGTTAATATTATATGAAAGATTATCTGAGTTAGCTAATGTTGTTTGAATAATTAAGTGGAAAATCTCTTGCAAGACTATGTTTTTCCGCTGTTGATATGAACATGACCGTTTGATTCTGCTGTTGTAACGGCATGGATGATGGCGGCTGATAAGCTACTCTTTATTTATATATCATTCCCAGACTGAGTAATGCGTTCATTTTCAGTCCAGGTATAAAACTTGATAAGCGTTAAGCGTATTCCATTTGCATTAGTGTCTAGATGCGATTTAAAGACATTACCTTTAAATTTTATTGATATTAATTCATATGAAATTTTAATAATCTTATGAAGAACCAATAGATCTCTACTATTGTTATCTAAAGACAGTTTTAGTTCAATAATTTCGGTTCAATCGCCTCGTTGGCATGACGTTCAAGATGTGTCCATAAACTGAACTGGAAATTTGTTTCAGGAATGTCCCACGGGGATGGTGGATGAGGACGGCTTCAAAAAAATATTTGCTCAGTTCTTTCCCCTTGGGGGTAAGTTTTAAATTATAATTCATTATCACAAAACATTATTATAAATCGGTGTGGTCAGAATTTTTTTAGCAGTGATTATGAGTGATTGTTTCTATATGTATTGATAATTATTTGGCTCACTATTTCCCTGTCATGGGCTTAGTGGGATTCAACAGATTGCAATTTCAAGACATCATCACTGCTATCTTTGATCCACAATAACAAGTCGATAAGTTCCACATTTTATGATCATCCAGACAAAAATACCTAAATATCTCCGATGTATCAGAGTGACTAGACATGCAGTCTTCTCAGTATTATGGAGTAATTTAAGTATGCACTATGAATACTATTTTTACATTTATTTTGGGGAAAGTTTAAAGTTTCTAAAATTTTTATGGAATACACTGCACACTAGAGTACAATGAGAACAGGATTTTCATTTGAAATTAATTTTCCTATGTTGATTTTTTTCATGAACATAATTCAGTTGTTGCAAAAAAAAAACCTTTTTAATTATTTCACAGCCAAACCATTTGCCGAGTTTCCTCGTAATTGAAACGAGAAAAACGAAATTTCAATTTGATTTTGGCTTGATTGTGAAATATCTCAAGTTGCTGTAAGGAGAGCACTTGGGTGTACATTTTATTTAAATTTGTTTTGAAATTATGTGTTTACATCACTAATATTGTAAGCTGGAATAAAACAATCAGGCTCTTGACATAATTCCCTCATTTGAGAAATCAATTTATCTTAAATCCTGCGATAAGTCTACTGAAGCGCGCACTATTTCCCGTGGCAACAAGATTGCTAATCCTTCTTAATGAATCGCTGCGACGATCTGATGCAAGTGCCTGAACCTTCTTGTGTTCCCGAGTTCTCGTAATAATTGTAGAAATGATTATGCGCTCATCCGTTACAAACAATATTTGCCTCAATAGACAACTCTGTCAACATTGATCACAATTTATTATTCAGATCTGAGCATTGATTTCCATAGTTCAACGGACTGAAATATTCTGATAAAGAAAATGCTGTATCACCAAAATTCAGATGCTATAATTTTTCCGATATCAGCATTAAGGATTACATTTCCAATATAAGAATTCTTTATCAATAACTATCCTGATATATTAAATTAAATAGATTGTCATCTATTAAACAGGTGCTGTCCATCAATCAGGCCCAGTCCGGGGATTAATAAATGACCATTGAACAGATTACATGCAAGAATTGATTACCTTCCATCGAACAGCTATGGGCACCTTCCATAAATAGGTTATATATATGTATGGGTTTATATTGGTACCTTCAATTACAATTCGAACCTCAATTTTCCAACGTTTACTAGAATTTTTGTAAATAAATTCAATAATTTCAGTAAGAAAAATGTGAGTTTTAACGCGACAATTACTTCTATTTTTTTATCAATTCGGCAAAGAAGAAACTTGTGCAATAGTACATGTAGATTTAAACTTACTCTAGATGAGCGACGTGGAAGGTCAACAGAAATTTATGTGGATAATGAATCAGTTAATTGTTGATCATTTGTGAGTGTGTATTAATCCTTATGATTTTAGGACAACCATATGATTTTATGATTTTAGGACGAGCCAATTGTGTTTGTGAATTTTTTCAGATGCTTCGAAATACGCTCATTACGTCTTCAACACTTTCAAGCACAATCACCAAGGCCAAATAAGCTTCGAGGTATGTGTATAATAATTTGACTACGTTTTCCAGGCGACACGAAATTGGTACTAAAAATGCTGGTTTTGATTGGTGTTAAATTTCATTTCTAAAGTGATTTTTTATATAAAAAACGTGCATTTTAGCGTTAATAGATCGTTCATTCGCAGAACATGCGTCGCTTATGAAATTGTTCTTCTGTGAAACTAAATGTTCACGCCCAAAATCAACAGAGCATTCAGATTGGCTTCATTAAAATATTTTATATGTGTAGTTGTTTGGCATAACCAATCTTAGATCTTCTCTTGAAGAAACGGGAGTTCAAAAACTATGTGGCTCAAGATAGCACCTTCTATAGACGAATAGGAGTGATCTTCTTAGTTGACCTGTTCTGAACATTTTATCAAAATCTATTGATTATTGCCTATCCATTGTTTGGCCATTTCTTTATGATATATGTTTAAGCGTTTTCAAACTCCACTTTTCCAGCTAGTTGAATAAGTATCTAGACAAGTTACGTTGTTTTTATTATTGGAAAAACAATCGTTCCAAAAACACTCGATTGCTATATGGATACCACTCGATGCTGCAATTTTTCTGATATCAGCATTGAGGATTACATTTCCAATATAAGAATTATATTTATATATTATATATCCACACCCGCTCGATTCAATTAAGTATCAATAGAAAATAAAAAAAATTCCAGTCCATATGACGAAAAAGTTTCGGAGTACATTTATATCTTCCGTTACATGAAACGTGCACAGAGAATTCCCAAATTATTTTTAATTTACTGGTACTGGACAAATGAGAGAAACATTTTGAACAGAAAAACGTTGCAATTGGACAAACTAAAACTTTGTATCATTTTCTGCTGATTTTATATTTTTAATGAGACTTAAAATTATTTTGGAAAGTAGCCCGAACGTTCCTACTTGCGAATTTTTATTTGAGTTCACATAATATTGTCAATAATTGATATATCCTTTACTAGAAATTTACTATTAGGTAGCTACTTATCGCCCCCTAAAGAAATAAAATTATAACTAACGAAAACATTTAATTTGCTTTGTTATGCTGATAAGCTTACCAAAAAAATCCTGATGCCATTCCTCAGAATTATTTTCGTATAAAAACAATAAGATTTGTTTATGAACATGATGATACATTATAGAATTACAAGGGAATTATAATATTTAGAAATAGGCTTCTGATTCAAAAGCGGTTCCGATGCCCCAGCCGAATCAGAAAAAAAATCACAGCAGGGAGCGAGATCTCCAACACAGTTGATGTCGCTCGTTATTGCAACACATCTCCTCTCAATGACCAGCATTTTCCTTAAGATACCGATGGCTATCAGGTCATTTTTCACAGGATTTCTTGTCGGCTCTCTCAACTGTGTCTCGTGGTTCAACACAAGACAAACTGCAGTGGATATTCGGCCTGTACGATGTCAATCACGACGGGTTTATCTCTAATCAATGACCAGCATTTTCCTTAAGATACCGATGGCTATCAGGTAATTTTTCACAGGATTTCTTGTCGGCCCTCTCAACTGTGTCTCGTGGTTCAACACAAGACAAACTGCAGTGGATATTCGGCCTCTACGATGTCAATCACGACGGGTTTGTCTCTAATCAATGACCAGCATTTTCCTTAAGATACCGATGGCTATCAGGTAATTTTTCACAGGATTTCTTGTCGGCTCTCTCAACTGTGTCTCGTGGTTCAACACAAGACAAACTGCAGTGGATATTCGGGCTGTACGATGTCAATCACGACGGGTTTATCTCTAAGAAGGAGATGGAGGACGTGGTGCGGGCAATATACGAGATGCTCGGACGCTCCACCAACCCGCCCATGGATGAGGCAGCTCCCAGGCATCATGTTGACAAGGTCTTCCGGGTCAGTTTTACTTATCAACTTGTGTCGAAAATTTTCTTTCAATAATTTTTTTTCTATGAGGAATTTTTTTTCAACTGCCGCATTCATTTTATCTTGCTAAGTATCTATGATGTTATTAATGAATTGTTAACTATTCTAGTCACCCTATCATTACTTTCCAATCTATGATGTTATTAGTGAATTGTTAACTATTTTAGTCACGCTATCATTACTTTCCATGCAATAAGTGCTTTTATACTATCGAAATTTACTTACATTTATCATTTTTTTCCACATTGGATTGTGTTCTACTGGTACAATTTTTTGCGCCCCATAAATTTCGATTAAATAAATAAAATAATGAATTATGGCATATATAATAACATACAAAATCATTTTTGCATTAGTTTCAGGTCACTTACGCAGACTCAATACAAACGTCAAGAAACTGATTTTAATTGCTACTTTTACGTGCAGCTCATCGACTCCAACAACGACGGTACGATCACCATTGAAGAGCTAGCCGCCTTCATATCGCAAGACGAGACCGCCCTACAGTCCCTCAGTATGATGGACACGGTGCTCTACACGCGCCCTCCTCACCCGCTCATCACACGGCCTTCCCTCAGCAATCCTTAGCTCCTAACACGGTGCTCTACACGCGCCCTCCACACCCGCTCATCACACGGCCTTCCCTCAGCAATCCTTAGCTCCTAACACGGTGCTCCACACGCGCCCTCCACACCCGCTCATCACACGGCCTTCCCTCAGCAATCCTTAGCTCTTTAGCTCCTAACACGGTGCTCTACACGCGCCCAGTTAGAACGATGTGAAGGCTTTTAAAAATAATGTCAGCTTCTTTGAAAAACTGAGAAATTTGGAATTTCTTCGTGACGACAAAGTGTAGCAATGGAAATTATTATGAGTAAACGATCCTTACCTACAGCCAAATGAAAACGCGGCAAATTACTTCCAAGGTAAATACAAGAAACAAAGTGTATTTCTTGATTGGAACATTTTTATTTTAGCTATTGGAAATTGAGAACTATCGCAACGGGGAGCTTTAATACCAGTAATTTCATCCTCATAAATTACATATCTTATATATTTCTTTTATTTTAACATTTCTCATAAGTTATATTTCTTCTTGTATTCACACTTTGCAACGTCAAGTTTTTTTTTTTTGAGCTAATGGCTGATATTTTTAATATCACATTTTTGTTTTGAGCTAATTTTTGTTGGATGCCAATTGATTAAAAAAGAAGGTTAAGAGCTACTCAACTATTACAGTTTATTGCTTTATCACCAGCAGTAATTTGAGGTTCCCATGATTTGCAGGTTTTCTCACCAACTTGCGAACAAAATAACACCAGCGGCGTAAACTGCTGCCTGGAGCCAAACTTTCCACTCATAACATAACAATTTCATAAGCAACGCCGGGTTAACCTGCTGGTACGATGTAATCCGTGTTAACTTTTCTCTCATTACATACCATAATATACTACTTTATGAGTAACGCCGGGTTAACCTGCTGCTACGATGTAGTCCGTGTTAACTTTTCACTCATAACATTACAATTTCATGAGTAACGCCGTGGTAACCTACCGTTACGATGTAATCCGGGTTACTTTTCCACTCATAAAATAACATAATATACTTCATGAGTAACGCCGGGTTAACCTGCTGGTACGATGTTATCAATCGATTCCTAGAAACTCAGTCGCGGATGTTAATAGTTGAAGGACAGAGAGCTCACTCTCAGCCTCACAGCAATATATTTATAACTTCAACAAAATATTGTCATCTGATTGCTCTGTTTGTTGACATATACGAAGTTAAGTCAACAGTTTGGCACAGAAAGTAACGAACAGCGTAAATGAAATATGGCTCGTCTCGACTAGCAACAGTAGAGAGAGAAAAATTTCTCTCGTAAAGTATAGCAAAAAAGAAAATTATTCATGAGACAAAGTACAATAACATTAGCCTTATACCCCGTTCAACTCTTACTATTGTAATTTAATTGAAATAATTTTGAATAACTACAGATGTATGGATTTCTCCGACTTTAAAACCCTCCTTAACACTCAGCGGAGTGAAATTTTGGAGAAGTCCTCGGCCAGAATAGGAAACAGTCTCAAGAATTTCTAAAATGCAAACTCTTTCTTACTATATTAAATTAATTGCAAGATTATTCCCTTGTTATAAAATAGACAATGTTACTATGTAATTAAAACCGAGAAATTACGTCTAAAATTTACGAAAAATCTGGTTTTCAATAGCTATAGTTGTTGGCTCTGCCCTCAAAGTGCAACGCTCCCGCTTAATTTGAAAGTGATTTGAAAATGAAAGTGAACGGCAGAGGAATTTTTATGCTGTGTGGGCAGACTCTGTGAGGAAGCTAAGGCTATTTAATAATTGCAGATAATGGTTTCGACCTTATTAACTGTGAACGAATTTGATGGTTTGTGTTGCGAGCTGTGAAACTAGCAGACAGTCGCTTGTTTTGATGTTAATAATATTGATAGCAAATATATCATATATTATTTTAATTTTTTTGTAAATAATTTTACAAAGTTTCGCCCATTTTTTAGAGGTGGAATCATTCTGATCTTGATTCATAAATTATCATGTAAGCATTGCTTGTGCTAATCAATGTAAAGGAGAGCAAATACATTAAGAGAGCTGCTTTGTAAATTGAGGAGCTTAGCAATATATTTCCAACAGTCTCGGTCAACGACCAACGAACTATATAAAGGTGAAATGTCTTTATTAATTAAAATATTTCATGTATGTAATGTAAATGACCGCTTTTTATGTTTCGGGTGATTCTGCTAAAGCTAAAATATTAATCGCTTGAATCAATAATAAGAATCTTATATTTTCTTTTGAAGAATTTTCCTCGACCCATCTAAACCCGGCAAAATAATTGGATAAAGCTTTTGCTAACCTAGCTTGGTGACAAAAAACAAGTCAAACGTGATCGAGTCCCTCGGCTAATCGGTATTCACCAGGGAACTCCTTGTACCGGACTGTACGTCTCAGTTGTGTTTCAGAGTAGACGAAAATTTTTACTCCCTCCCCCCCCCAATTTGTCACGCTGGTTCAGGTGGACGCGGTTTAGAACAAGCGACGTCTGGTACGGGCAGTAGCCATCTGCCCGTTACGGGCAGTAGCCATCTGCCCGTCTTCTATTTGCATCTCATTCAGAGGTGTCTTCTGACCCATGCTTTCACTCATGAGTTCTTCGAGGCCTACGTCCTCAGATGCAGTTAACCTACGCTACCCAAAAAATAATCATATACATTATAAAATGTTTCACCGGCTACAAGTCTCGGTTTCGAGCTGAGTTTTTTCTTTTCTTGCACCTTCTCATCTATCACGTAGCTGCGATATACTGTACGAGCGACATATTGTAAGAGTGTCTTCGTATCTGATGCTATTCACTTTCCGTGTTGATCATATCTGATTTCGTATCTTCCTTCGTATCTAATGTGGTTCACACCTTGTTCCTTCTCTAAGATTTTTATGTTGTTCCTTTATCGATTACTCTGATAATTTCTGCCTCAGCTAAACGATTAATGTTTGATGATCAAGCTTACTTGAATATTGTCGATACCCTCAGACTTGCGAAAACCTAGCTTGATATATGCAGGCTAGTTGAAGTGGATCCGCACACTTACACGGACACCTTGCCAACACCGCACCCTTTTTATTTATATGGTCTCATTTACGTGCTTACGTAGCTTCTTTCTCACCTATTTCACTATGTTGGCTTGAAACCTACACTGAGTTCGGGCGCCAGAACACCGAAAATTTTGTTGAGCAATAAATAAATTGAAGTTCTTCAAAGAATTGAAACAAATTCAGTTATAGTTTATCGTCATGCATAATAGGCATAACGCATAATATGGGTTAAATTATGTCTCTGCAATTATACTGTAATTTTGTTAATTTCAATTCAACTAAATTCATGTTTGGCAGTTCAGAAGTAAAATCAACAACAGATGCAACATTCCATATTCCTCGTTCTAGGGGTAGTTTAACAATGAATATAATGTTGTTAATGACCAAATATCATTAATAATCGCCATTTAAGTTAAAGGTTATAAAAATAAAGGCTAAAACCAAAAAAGTTGCATAAAACATTTTACTGGATAGAAGTCCTAGATAAATAAAACAGAACGTTTCGGGCTATGCCCATCATCAGCTAGTAAAATACATCTGGAAATACATGGAAATCAATTTTAGTAAATAAATTTAGAAAATGATAAGGAAAGAAAGGAAAACTATTGACCTAGAATCGAAAGAGGAAAAGAGCTGTTCACAAAAAGAACAATAGGTTCTTTTTTCAATTACAAAGATAGACTTCCTTTAGCATCTAGGTCTTCTCTGGTGTATTCTTTCAGTTGTGCACAATGTGCATCTAGCTACGTCGGTATGACCGCACGAGCACTTTTCACCAGAGTTGCCGAACATGCTGGAAGAAGTTTCCGTACTGGGCGTCCACTTGGTCAGCCGCCTCATTCATCAGTCAGACTTCATACAGAACAGTGCTCAGCCAAACCGATTTACGAATTTTAGAGTCTCTTTACATCCATAAACTTAAACCTAAATTGAATAACCAATCCAGCTCTTTTCCTCTTTCGATTCTAGGTCAATAGTTTTCCTTTCTTTCCTTATCATTTTCTAAATTTATTTACTAAAATTGATTTCCATGTATTTCCAGATGTATTTTACTTGCTGATGATGGGCATAGCCCGAAACGTTCTGTTTTATTTATCTAGGACTTCTATCCAGTAAAATGTTTTATGCAACTTTTTTGGTTTTAGCCTTTATTCTTAAACTGAGAAGAACTCCTCGAGATATTGAGGTTATAAAAAATACGAAAGGTTAATTTTTTCTATGCAGTTTTGATGATAATGATGTAGCATATATTGATGAATACTCTGTCAATCGCAATTGAAAATTCGTATCATCCGTTACTTTTTTATTTTGATAATTAATTAATTATAGGAACGCGTACTCGTTGCCATATCAACTTTTATAAACAAGTATTTTTGTGCCCAAAAAAGTAAATGCGGCACTTTTTCTAGGGTTTGCTAGCAAAATAATAATAATAGGTTTCAGTTGACAGACTAGCGGCCATAATTAGTTTCATGGAAGTAAATTGACATATGCTGTCATAATGAACAATTACACCGTTAAGTCGTCGTAATAAAATGCTTGCCGACCTAATCGCCAAGAAATCAATTTCGAACAGTTTTTCTGAACTTAGGTTAGATGCCGAAAAATATTCACACTTGGCAGCATCATTGTACAAGAAGGTCAACATCCATGTCAATTGTTTGGACAATTCGCATTACAAGTTTGAATTTTTAATTTCTATGTACGACATAGAGATGGGTTGCACGTAATCTATTCTAAACATAATGCTGAGTCGCTGGCTGCGAGTTTAAGTATAAAATTAACGAATAATTTTTATTTATACGGATAATTAATAATTATACGGATAATGAATTTATGCGAGCAATTGAAATGGGCAAACGTCATCGTACAACAGTAAGAATTTGTCTTCATTAACATGTTGTTCAATGTGTAATCTATCGCTTATAGATAATATGAAAAGTTGTTAGATTATGTTTGAAGTATATCTTTAATTGTAAAATATTAGAAATGTTATTTATAAATTAATTAATGTTCAAATTCATAAATATAAGTAGAAGGTTATATACAGGTCTTCTGAGGTACCGGATAGCAGAAAATTCGAAAATATTTATACT